TTTAGAAAAAATGTGTCACATTTCTTATAATACCTAACTTATATCTAACTTTCTTAATCTAATCAACTTAATTACAATGAATCTTATATTAAAGATCGGATGAATATATATATAGTTTCCATGAGAGAACTTCTAACACTTTGTGACAGCCCTTCTAAACAATCAAAACAAATCAAATTCTTCAACAAATTTTAATTTAACACCAGCAATGCAAGTCATGATCTATCTGTCAGTAGTCTTTTTCTTTAGATCATACCAGCACGTTTCGTCTTCATGGTAAACTCTACAATTTTTTTTTTTCCCAAAAAAAAGTTTCTGTTGAGGTACCAACAAGAGGTAGCAGTAACTAACAAACTAATTTATGATCCGGTGAGTATTCAAAATCTGAATATGCCAAGCCAGAGATTTGTGGCAACAAAGAATTTTAAAATGTCCCCGGATAGATGAGTAAGAACACAATGGTTTTTCGCGCAAATACGTTTCAAGTATAAACATCTGGCGTTCTTTAACCTGTTGTTGTGGCCTGTGAAAAGACATATACCCCATCTCCTTATTGTAAGGATTTCCTTTATACCTTTTTCCATTTGGCATCCTAACTAAGGGTGTGTTTGGATGAAACCAAACCGTGGTTTGGAAAAGTGATTCTGGAAAATAGATTTTGGGGAGAATAGATTCTGTGAAGAATAGATTTTGTAAAAAAGTGATTCTGAGAAGTGAGAGTGTTTGGATAGTTGTTATCAGAAGCACTTTTTATATATACAAATTACTAAAAAAAGACATAAGTTAATGTGATAATTACAGAAAAATAGATTTTATGATATATTTTAATTTGAAGGAATAAAATTGTTAATAATATATTTTTTACCAACATAATTAATAATACCTAAATAATATAATTAATAAATAATTAATATGTATATATATTTATAAAATATAATATAAATATGTTTATAAAAACAAACAAGATAATATATCCTATAGGCTCTCACTCTCCCTTTTTTCTCCAAAAGCAAAAAAATTTTGCTTTTTTCAAACCATGGTTTTGGAGCCAAAACCATGGTTTTGACCCAAAACCATGGTTTTGGTTTTGGGTGGGTTTGGGTGACTTAATCTCCAAACCATGGTTTGGGTCCCCAAACCATGGTTTGGGGTGGTCATCCAACACTCCTAACTATGAAACTCTACAATCTAACTTTTTCAACTTTCGTTTTAAAAAGAAAAAAGTCAATGTGAATTTATAAATATAACTTGAGGAAAATTTTCTCCCTTTGGCCAAAGCAAAAGATATGCCCTTTTCCAGTATTCAAAAAATATGCTTTGTGACCAATGGAGCTTAAATCTAGTAGAGGAGATTGGGTCCTCATAATGTGACAAATCAAAATTTAAATTTTCATATAAAGAAGTGTTCATATTTAATGCTGGATAGTAATTTGAACTGAATTACCTCTCACGTAAAGATAACTGCATTTAGAAAAAAAAAGATATGCTTTGTATTAAAAAAAGAATGAACAAAAGATATGCTTGAAACATGAGTCAACCGTCAACACCATGTGTTCTCCCTCCGGCGGGTCGTTCCTGTCACTTTTTTTAGGGGGAAAACAGTCAGAACCTTTTTTTTTTTTGTTTTACAAGAATTGTGTTTTTCTATTAAAAAACTCAGGATTATAGTTGCTGAAATTGTATCTATATGGGTATTTGGGCCTGGACTCAAATGAGATATATGAGGCCCAGAATCGTAACAAACAGAAGAATGGTCTCATTCACAGAATGGAAAAAGTATTGGGCCCATAGAGTCGTAGCCCTAAAAAAACACGCCTTTTTCTTGAGTTTCAGAAACGTTGTGCCACCACCTCATCTTTCAATTGCAAGTGAATTTTGAATCAAAATACAAAGTTGCCAAACAGAATCCTAACTGAGGGGTTTATGGCTGACACTGAAGGTGGAATTGAAATCTTGAAATAGTTACATAAAAAGCAGAGATTTTAATGGGGGAACCCGGTAATGGCTACGACAGCAGCAGTGGGGAGGAAGATGGAGATGCCAGGTGGAGGGCTGCCATCGAATCCGTCGCCGGAACTACCAGCTACATCTCTTCTTTCATGAATGGCTCTTCCTCTGCCTCCAAGGAAAAGTCGCGAGCCAAACCCAGTGATGACGACGACGATGGACAGCGGAAACCCAAAACCCAGCAGATGAAGCACTACCAAGTCAAGGTCAGTGTTCTCTATGCTTCCTATTTTCTGCTTATTGGTATCTGTACCTGTTTGGTTGATGTTGATAGTGGACCATTGTTAACGCTAAAACAAGCTCGAAGTGATTAAGTTTCAAATCAAAAGGTATATAAAAAATCACACACGAATTGGACCTTTTCCCTTTTGGCTGATTAGTTGTCCCCTTAGTCTGTAGAATGTAGGTTAGTTGGTTATTCGAGCTCACTGTTGTTATGTGAAATTTAGTTTATGGTGATTGGTTTATACTTATATCTGCACATCAAGAACAATGTGCGGCAAGTCTGCTCTAGACTGTTGTTCATTAATGGATTTGTCTCGTCGATCTTGGAAATTTATTTTTAGCCAATCTCAATGTCATCTAGTCAACTATGGATATAGGAAGATTCATGCTGTTTGTATAGTTTAGTGATTTTTAGATCACCTAATTCATCTTTTCTCTGGAACAATATGTAGTAATGGAATTCATATCACTTACGTATTGTGGGTCTTTATATAAAAAGCTAGAATTCTTATCACCCCCCGGGGGGGGGGAAGAAAAGCTAGAATTCTTCTTCCGTTTAGCTTATTTTGCTCCTCTACCTTTTGTCCCTCATTTTCCGATTTCTTGCTGATAGTTAGGTTCTGTATCTGCTATGCGAACTTCCTCCTTGCCTTGTCACAATGATTAATAGTTCTTGATGCTCTGGACAGGCACAAAGGCTTTTGGATGACATCATAGAAAACACATTAGAGATTGTAAAAGAGCCTATGCCCATCCTGGATGAGGATCCCAAGATCCAAGAAGGTGGCGTTCGCCTATTCAAACATGCTCAGCCAGGAATAGTGTTTGATCATGTAGGTAAGCAATTTTTGCAGCCACTTCTGGCTTTTTAAAGTCAAGCACTGAGATAATCACCATGTCTTGATACAAATGGTTGATTTTGGGTTGGGAGAGTTAGGATGGTTCTATTTTGGTAACATACTAATATTAGGGCTTTATCTAATGCTATTGGCGGTGCTCACCTGTTTGTGGTTAATGAAAATTTATAAAGAAAAAGGTTCTTTGTAAATTGTTATTTTGCGTCCTTGTCACATTTCTGAGATATGCAGTAGCAGCTCTCAGTTAAAGCAGTGGCTGATAGCATACTGCTGTCAAAAGGGCTTCCATTATAAACACTAATGACTATAACCTGGATCTGCCTACATCTCTCTTTCCTCTGTTCATTCTATTTTTCTTAAAATATGAAAAATTGAAGATTTTCTTCATTACCAATTTTGCATTACTTTGTAATAATACATGACTATAATGTTTACCCTACTCGGCCCCATAAGGGAATGTTGTGCAAGTCACTAGCTTCAGAACAGCATGCTTGCGGTCTCCCTTATAATACTAGGTCCGGCCAGCAGGTTATCGATGTGGCCATATGCTTGCGTCTATATTCATTAAGTTCATGCTACTTGCGAAGTGTCTATAGAAAAGCTATTGAAGCTGAATAAAATATTTTTTAAAAAAATGTAGTTGCAGGAAGTTCTCTTGTAATTATTAATTTGAGGAATTAAAAACGAAATCCGGATTGCTGCCAGATTGATTTTGACATTCTTGCCAGCTGATGCCATTCAAGTACTCTAATGATCTAAATAAGATTCTGCTTTTCTTTTCTCCTGATTAACCAGAAACTTACAGAAATGTTAAAATATTATGTACTTCTAATATCTTGCCCGAGATATCACCAGGTTACATTTGTATATGTGGGTGAAGGTTGTGTATATGCCTGCAGATGAGCCCGAGCCACCAAGAAAAAGACCTAGAATACTTCCTGGAGAGGATATTGATGAGAAATCAAAGAAGGTCTTTCACTCTATCTCTAGAATCTATATCCTAGTCCTTATTGTGTCTTAGTTATGCATAGCAATTTTCTTAATGATTACATGTTGTTTCGACAGTTTAAACGGCAGGTTCGCTCTGTTGCTGTCAATGGGAGAGATATTATGGCTTCAGCAGAAGATGCATATCAGAAGGCTTTGGCTAGACTAGAAGCTAGAGATGCGGCAGCAAAAGCTGCCGCCCAGAGAGAAAAGGAAAGAGTTGAAAATTTGAAAAAGGTTAGGGGAGAGAGATGGTTACCTTCCATGGCCCGGGACATGCAGCTTGGGTATAAACACTGACAGTGGCTTAGAGGAGATCTTCGGTGCTAATTCCTTCCGTGTTGGAGCTAATGTATTACAAGTGAAATAGAAGGATAAAGAATTGGAATGGTTCAAATTAGTGATGTGTTGAAGCTAATGAAATTAAACGAGGGACGTTGTATCAAAGGAATTAAATGAGGGACGTAATAAAATTGTTGCAAAAAATTATAATTCTTTCTAGCTGAAAATTTAATTGGATGAGGGTACTCTCTGTTTGAATTGGGAACTATCTTCCCGGGAACCCATTAGGTTTGTTTTCGCATTGTAAGCCCGCAAAGCTGCACATCAGCACAGGGTCCGCCTCTGAGGATGAGCGCTTGCCGCATCACTAAAAATGTTGCGGAGTCGCTCTTGTGACACAGTAGTATTTAGTTTGGGGATCTCTTTTCAACTTTATGTAAAGCTAGGAGGATTAACTTGGATAACGATGCAAAGAGTATGAAGCGGGATGAAAACTTCTTAAACTAACTAAAACTAAATTACTAACAAGAATTGTTCCAGTTTGCAAGGAGTTGACTTATAACTCACAAAGTCATAAGTTTAAATCTCGCTACAGATATGAAAATCTAGTTGATGGATGATTTGTAAGTATCTCTGTAAGTGCTTTATGAGTCTGGAGACATATCTTAATCATAATGAGCTTTTAGAACCTAATTCACTTAAATTTTTTTTTTACCAAAAAAATTAAGACTAAATTGAAAATTGATATATGCTATGGAATCAGATGATTAATTTTCTTTATAAGCTGTGAAATTTTGATTATCCATATTTTGGCGGGTCCGAGAGGAATTTCAACTTTTAAGTACATTACCAGCTAAATTACTAGTCGACTGCTCTAATGTCAAATAATACGGTGATGCTTAGGTTCACCAGGTGGCTAATATAAAATAGAAAGTTGAATTATGTACAAATTTAATGCAAAGTACCTGTAATATTTTCTATGGCCAAACTGAATTAATTAATTAATTGCAATGTATTGGGAAAACATTTTTTTTTTTCACTGGAATTTGGATGAGAGGCATCCGTTGTTAGGTGTCAAGCAGACGCAATGACTAAAATGCAGCTTCTATTCGGGTAAATGCAGCATATGTCTTAGGTGGAGAACGTGAAGGGGCGGTAACTGCATTTCGAATTTGACGTTGGAATAAGATAGAAAAGAGGAAGCATCGCGGAAGCAACCTAATCTATCTTTATTGGGGAGGACACTGAGCAACAATAATTCTCGAGTTAGAAGCAGCCAAAAGCAAGCATGGGAGGGCCCTTATTTTTATTCACCTACACTCAAGTGTCCTCAGCATTTAGTGAGAGTGGGAGAAAGATGGCGCATGTGTTGGCAGTGATGGTGCATTACGTTGGTTACTTTGTGAGAACCATTTGGGGTCTGCAAGAGCGGCGTTTTGCCTCCACCTTCGACGCTGTGAGCTCCGCCGCCATATCCATCAGCATCACATTTGTGCTCTGCCTCTTCTCCATCAGTCATTCTCGACCAGGAGGTGCGATGGTCTTTGCCTCTTCCTGATCTCCTGTACCTCTCCTTCATCTGGTTTCATAATCAAATTTGGGTCACTCGTGTATTGGCTCTTTTTTCCCTTTTAATAGCCAATAGTGGGTTATTTTGAGAATCGACATCCCTGAATTTTATTACTCCGCTCAGAGATATCTTTGATATAGATTCATATTGTGTTCTTTTTATTCCTTCATCATCAAGTATCATTTTCACCGGGTTACGTTCGTCTCCAGTTTGATTAACTGGGGACTCGAATAAATTGCTGTAGTTATGGAAAGAAAGGAGGGTAAAGCATGATGACATAGAAATTTGCTTTGCTCCTGAGGTTTATGATGCCAATCCATCACAGAAGGTGGTTACACATGAGATAAATCATTCAGCAATCCGTTAGGATATTCGCTTGGACGGTACAAGACAACCATCTAAATTTATACACAAGTTCTTCGTGGTTGTTATCAGGTTCCATAATAATACAATACATGAAAGAGCTTTATTTAAAGAGGCGACCACACATTGAAGTTTTAAAAGCAGGAGAGAGAGAAATCATGCAGAATTCTTTATTTAAAGTCGTGCTACACATTTGAAGTCACGTCTCCCGTCGAACCACATCATATGTTCGCAAGCTTTTAGAGAGTCATTCAAGGGTCGCGTCACGGTATTTGAGAAGTAATTAATTAATATCCCTGGCGTACGACCCCTTCATCCCTCTATGGATAAACTAATCGCAGAAAACCAATCCTTTGTAATGAATAGAAGCAGACTTGCGGGAAACAGTTATTTCCTTGCAGCTAGCTTTATTGCTGCAGTCAATATTACAAATAAATATTATGACAGTAACAAACAAGAAAGGAAGGCCCCTTAGGCCCGCAGGTAACCATTGTCCTCCAAATATGCTATCACTCTTTCTGCCATGTCCCCCGGAGAAGCACAGTCACTTCCTTTCTGCTGTAATACTATCTGCAACATTGAGCAGACATACATTCAGTTTTTATAAAGAAAACAGGAAAGAATGAAACAGGGGAAGAAAGCAAAACACCTGCAATTCAACTAGAGAAGAACGCTTAGACTTTTCAAGAGAAAACTAGACGCAAAATAGGCTTACAATTTATGTGATACTAAGTTCGGGCCCTGTTGCCTTGCATTTTAGATCAGACCACCCAAGAGAAGGAAAAGAAATTACAGAATGAAAGACTCCGCCAAAGCCAGGACTAATCAGTAACTCTCTTGTCAAAATTAAAACCCGAGCAAACAAAACAAAATCTTTGAATTATGGATATTCATAGTATCCATCTATCATCTCACTCATCCTTAATAAAGCTGACCCTAAGCTAAGAGAATATAATCTTTGAATTTTAGGACTGTAGTATCTATTCATTATTTCTCTTGAACAAAACTGACATATGCTCATTGTACCAAATACGCACCTCACAACTAGATGGTGGTTCATATGGATCGTCTATTCCTGTGAAACCTGCAAATGAGAACTGATACTCTATAACTTCAATAAGCAGAGAAATGCAGAAGAAAGAAAACTAATAACGCATTTTATTGGAGCTAACACGGCCAAATGACACAATCATAAGGATGCATAACACCAAAATACCTTTTATCTTCCCAGCTCGGGCAAGCTTGTAGAGTCCCTTTGGGTCCCTTGATTCACACAAGTCTAGGGGCGCATCTAAGAAAACCTAGAGCATAAGAACATTGTCGGTAGAAGCATGAAGAACATCTTCTCTTGTTCAACAATCTTGCTTTTCCCGTCATGTTAGAAATGCAAAGCTTCGTGCGTTTATTATTTTATTGACTATCAAAACAAAAAGGCATATACCTCAATAAAATCTCCCTTCGAAAGTAGTGCTCGGCAAGCATCCCTATCCTTTCGGTACGGAGATATTAAACTCGTAATGCAAATAACACCAGCATCTGCAAGGAGTTTTGCTACCTCACCTGAAAATTATTAAATCATGATGGCTGAAAATTTTAAAAATAAAAATGAAATAGTTTAAGGGCCAAGCACAAAATATATGGATGCATATATAAAGTAACTGACCAATCCTTCGTATGTTTTCTGAACGATCTTCAGCTCTAAAACTAAGATCTTTGTTTAGACCATGCCGAACATTATCCCCATCAAGTATATAAGCCAGTTTTCCTCTGGAGTGCAAATTTTGACTCAAAACACAGGCTAGAGTGCTTTTCCCTAAAATCAATGTTTGTGTTTGATGAATTAAAGAGAGAATAACGGTTTATAGAAGAATGAAAGTTACAGAAATATCTCAGGAAAGGCATCATTAAACAGAATTACACCTCTCGCCAATTCAGGTGTGTTATATATGCATCCTCATAGCTGAAGAAATGAAAGAGCATGTATTCATTTTCTTCATCATTTGTATATATTCTACAGCAAGGACAACCATTACTGATAGTATACCGAAGAACTGCTTCAGCAAAGTTCATGCTTCAATAACTTTTTACTTCTTCAAATTATGTCATAGAACAATTTCAAACATCTTTATATTTTAATTTTCTAGCCAACACAGAAAGATACTGTTAGCTGCTCAGAGGCCAAGCTGTTGAATAGGTTAACATACCTCAAAACAACAGTAAGCTTGGTCTGACAGTAATACACGTGATATTATACTTTAACATTGTAATTGAAACATTGCAAACACAAATTCGCCTGGATTGTTAATTTCGACAACCTCATACTGACTTTGAACCTGAACAGAAACATAGGTCTTGTTTGGAACAATGACAGACAGAAATTAGAAATTTGGACAATGGCAATTAAAGCTGTAAAATTTGTTAGTATTTTGAGTGTCAGTATATAGTCCACCTATAAAAGATATAACAGGCCACTGATGGATAAATAATACAATCACTTCCTTTGCTGGGTTTATAAATTTTCTTGGATAAGTGCTTTCCCTTGTGCCCATATGCATTTGTCATCATCATATAAAACAATAGTCTCAAAGACTGTACTCTGTCCAACACAATATCAATATTTACTTGGACAGTTGAGGGAAATTAGTGTGCTCCATCATCCTTTTTATCGGGCAAAAAGTGCGGTAAGGAGGAAACAAGAACCCAGTTCAGTTTATAAAATTAACTGTTATAAAGAGCGATCATAAGACAAAAATAAATAGTCCCTGTTTCTTCCTATGCGTAGATGTAAAGCAATAGACAACATGCGAAAATCATGACACCATTACAACAAAATGAATTAAACTACTTTATAATCTTGAGGAATATGAAATGAGAAAAAAATGGAACCACAACCTATTTCTTGTACACAAGTTGTGCCTTTAGATCCGGTTAAGATCGATGGACTTCATCCATTCTGAATCTCAATTTGTTTCTAATTGATATAGCGTTTGGCGAGTGGATGTTTTCATTTCTCAAACATTAGGAAACCTACTAAAATGACAGATACGGGTTTTGAATATGGAAAAAGTTATCATCGTGTTGATTCGCTTATATATACAGAAGAAGCTTTTTAATTTTCCTTATAAATCTTTTACCCAAACATCATTTAAATACTGGCTCAAGTGCTCAGGAAATTGAGATCGCCAGCCCTCAACTAAATTTATTTCACAAACCTGATCCACTAAGACCAGTTAACCAAATGACACAGCCTTTTTGCTGAAGTAGCCTTTGTCTATCATGTTTCTGAACTGGAGTTCCATGCCACAAAATGTTTGTCGATTTCCCTATATTTGACATCTGGCCGATATTATTACCTGTGTAGATAATAATTTGTAGAATTAGAACCCTAATAATTACGGTCATGTATTTGATCGCTAATAGAGAAGTCAAGGGCGAGTGAGCAGTGTTTATCAGATGCCCAGAAATTAGTCTAACGAATCTCAGTATCAATTTGAAAAGACAAAAAATCAGAGACAAAGTCTTCTTGATATAACTAGAAGAAGACTCAGATCATTCGAGAGCAACAAGATGAGCGAGAAAAGGAAACAATACAAATGGAAACAAAATTCCATATAACACTTGCTGTTGCCTTTATTTACTTTGTTTCTTCGAGAATCTTCCTGGATAGCTTTTTCATGATCTTTAAACTCGAGTTTCACCTTGCATTAGGTCTTCCGTCTTTGTTTGACGTTAATCGGAACAACATTACGAGAAGGCTACTGTGTTTTTTTTTTTTTTTTTTTAATTTCCTATGAACCACTCATGAGTCAATACTCTTTGCCATTGTGGCTGACCTCATGCAAACACCGCGGCTAAAGTTATGACAAATATGGTTGAAATTTCTAACTCAAAAATTACTGGCCAGCTATCTTTCCCATAGAGGGGAAGAACAGTAAAGAACAAGAAAAGCATCACAGAAAAAGCAGGCATCCAGGTGTTAGAGAAGTTCAACTTCAGAAAAGAAGTATCTAAAAGTTAGTACCAGAATATTCAGCACAATCATTAACCAAAGACGCGCCAGAGTCATTCTCCGCTTTAATCGGCTTGAAGATGTTTGACCTCACGCTGTTACCATACATGCTCAAACTTCTACGACTGTGATCTAATCCGATCACATTGATTCCAAAAAGCTTCATAAACCCTAACGTCTCAGCCGTAGAATGCGGGCACGTCACAGACGTTCTACATTCGCCATTTATCTGTAATAATCCGCAATAACAAAGTGGTCGGAGAGCTAGAATGGTGCTCATCTTCACCGAAGAAGAACAATTCGGTGGTAAAATCGCGATGCCGCTGAAGATTTGAAGAAAGGAGAGAATTTAGGAAGAAGACCAAGTGAAGGCGGTGTGTAACGGTTTTCTGTTACAGATGGAAGCTGCTCAGGCCGCCTGGTCGGCATGCGATTGGGTTCAAAATTGGAGTCCCAAGATTGATTCAGAAATTTTTTAATCTTTTGCTAATTAGTGATGGACCATCGGAGAGAAAATTAATGACATTCACGTCACCAAAAGGATATCTGTAATGCGATCCTTGCTCATCACATTCACTTCTCGATCGACTATACAGTTTTAGGAGATCAATCCCAAATGGTTTTTGCCACGTGTACTCAACTAGGCTTCGTATTCATCTGACCATGAAATTTATTAATTTGGGATACATGGATATTGCGTCTTGACTCAGACCCACACAGAATCACTATTACGGGATTTTCCCCTCACTTCTGAAGAATAGAAAATTCGGTAAACCAACGGAGTTTACAATACTTTATATTCCCTCGCACTATATATTTAGTTAGTTAACTAGATTAAAAAGTTGAGAGAAAATAATAAATAAAGACCTCCCAATACATAAAGTTACTATTTGGGACTTTCAATTTGAAAAATAACAAATAACGATCCGGTTTTATATTATAAATATGAAATTTTGGTGAAATGTCTGAAATGCTCCTCAGCTAAGTTGTGATTTGGTGTACTGAAGTTGTCATTCGTTAAAATGAACTTGTCATTTCCATAATCAACTTGTCATTTGAAGTATACCTGAGTTGTGATTTCAGACATTTTACCAAAATTTTATATTTGCAATATGAGATCGGGTTTTTGTTTACCATTTTCCAAATTGAAAGTCCCAAATAGCAATTTCACATGTTGAGGATCTTTATTTGCCATTTTTTCAAAAGTTTATTAAATTAATTATTTATAATAATTTATTTTTGTTAACTATATGTATTAATTAGAATTACTATTTGATTAAACATTTATATGTGTAGCTGAACTACTTTGAAAAAAGTTAATAAATGTAAAAAAATAAAATCAATTAGAATTTTATATTTAAAATTAAATTAAATAAAAACTACTTCATACATCAGAATATATAAAAATAGGAGGTAGCATATTTAATGCATGATCCGTGTATATTGTCCTTTTCATCGATAATGCGCCCAATTCCGGTGCCAGTCCATTCAAGGCTCCGATAGCACGACAACTTGGCAGTTCTGTGCCAACGTTTATTACATTGTTCATTGCACCGGGGATAAAAGTTAAATAATTAATCTATGAAGACAAAAACATAAAATAAAATTAATAAATATGTTATTAATTTAAATTTTAAAAAGATTTATTATCTAGTGGACTCTAATAACTCGTTTTGTATGAGGAAACTATGAGTGCATCATGAAGGGAAAAAACGTGTGATTAAAGAGAGTATGGTTTTAAAAAAAAAAAAAGGTGAGAGATATTTTTGCCTTTTTATTTATTTTTCCCCTAAAATTGCTATACTTAGAATTAGGTTGATTGATATAAAATAATGCAACCAAGTTGATTGATTTGGAATTATTGTCAATTAATAACGTGTGAGTCCACTTATGAGCCTATTTGGTTTGAGAGAAAGGAGAGAAGGTAGGGTAGAAGGAATGGTGAGGTTTTAACCTTACTTCATTTGATTTGACTAAAAAAAAAAGAGAGAAAAAATATTTAATGACCTCTTATTTAATTCAAGAGAGAAAGGAGAGGAATAGTAATAATTAATTTATCATTTTATTTTTACATATTATTTATATATTATATAATTAATGTACATTTTAATTCAAATTACATAATTCAATGAAAATTCATTCTGTCATGTTAATAATATGTGTATTAAGATATTGATACAGTGATATATTAATATTGTCAGATGTGTATAAAAAATTGATACATTATATTTTTAAATTTCTAAAGCTTCCGCTGCCTTCATTTTGTTCTCATCTTCCTTAAAAAAACACAAATCTATAAAGATTAACATTTTCTTTATCAATGTAGTCATTTTTTAAAACTTTTTATCAAAGCATCCAGAAATCTTTTCAAATCAATTATAGTGTTTTAATTGAACATCTGAAAACAACCAAACATCTAAGCAAAATGTGGAGGAAGGGGGTTGTAAGTGAAGGTTATGACAGGCCAATAACGGATGGGTATCAAAGGGAATGGTTGGATTTGATTTTCTCTTTTTAATCTCTAAGAACATTATTAGAATATTACATACTCCTCTGATCCTAAATATAAAACCCTTATATATTTAGTGCAAAAATTTTATATTTAGACTCAGAAGAGTAAATCATTAGAATAAAATAGTCAATATATTTAGCTTCCCTCCAAAAACTCTTAGGGTGTGTTTGGATGAGGGATTTGGGAGGGAGGGAAGGGAAGGGGAGGGATTTTAATCATTTTCCCTTGTTTGGCAACACACAAATTTTAGGAGGGGAGGGAAATTTTTTAAAATTTCCCCTCCCCTCCCTCCCTAACCTCCCCTACAAAATTGGGAGGATTTGGAGGGAAAGGGCAATATTTTGTCATATTATGACCATTATACCCATATTTTGTCATGTTGTAACCATTATGTCTATATTTTGTCATGTTGTGACCATTATACCCACACCTTAAATAAAATAAGAGCAAAATTATCCATATTAAAATGTTTTTTCCCTCCCCTCCCCTCTTTTTTTATAAATCCAACAAGATAATATTAAAATCCTTCCACTCTCCTCCCCTCCCCTTCCTTCCATTAAAATCCCTCCCCTCCCCTTCCTTTCATTGAGCCAAACATACCCTTAATTTGAAGGGAAGCCAAATGAGAGTAGGGGAAGGAGGGAAGGGGAGATATTTACCTCTCTTCCAAAATTTCTAGCCAAATGATAGAAAGAGTTTATTTTCGTTTTCCTCTCCCACCCTCCTCTCTACCCAAACTCACCCATAATTTCGTCAAATGTAGCATAGAAAGATTTGCAAAATCCGAACTTGACCTACACTGTATATCGTAACGCAAAATAGGCGACACGTTGGTTGTAGGTTGCAGTTGAACCAAATGCAATCAAGGTTATTTAATACTCCGGGTCCTTCCTCTAATTTAAAAACTTAAGAAAGTTATTATTATTTTAATTAATTTGACTTGCTTACAAAATTAATATATAATACTCATAAGTATCTTAAAAAGATCATGTAATATTTGTTATAATTTAATAATTTAATAATTTGTTTAGCCTCTTAAAATTAGTTAACTTGTTCTGATATTAAGAAACAAAGGTAGTATTTATTTATTAATCCGCAATGGAGGGCTTATAGGAACCTAGGTTGAGTGCAATGTACGTGTACTATCGCCGGTCTTAATTGTGAAGGGAAGAAAAACTACTTGACAGGTATTAAGAACTCAGTTAAAATTAATTAGTCTGTGTTAGATTCAAAATTCTGGTGAGAAAAAAGTGTTAGGTACAAAACCTTTTTACTAACGTTAATTTGTGAGATGGTAGCTGTGTAATCTCCACGCTCTTTCTCTTGCCCCTCTGCGTCTTCGTTTCACTATCCTTTCCTCTCTCCCTCTGAGTTCGGACTCCGTCTTGCCATGTCCCCACTCTGCCAAGTGCTAACACCGTGCGAGGGGATCTTGGGCTTCGACTTATTGATCTGATGTTCATGGGCTTATTAGCTCGTTATCTCCCTGATTATGCTTTGCAATTTATTTGTCTCAGCCCAGTTGTATTTATGTGTACACATATTTCCAGATATCAAATGAAAGAGGAGGGCATCCCATGTTGTCTTGTAGCTTTGTCAACTGTTAACACAAGTTAACATAACTTAATATTCATATTTATATTTAGTATATAACAGTATTTTGAATAAAATTATGTTTAATAGAAAAATACTTGTGCTAAAGAAAAAACAGTGAACATGAGTTGTAGTTTTAGAGCTTATAATGTTTAGTCTAAGTAGTATGAAACTAAGAATCATCAATCATTAACTATATTCTTAAAAAACTTATGATACCTTATTCGTTTAAAAATGAATAGGATATGATATTATGGGATCAAATATATTTAATTAATGAGATTTTGAATAATATTTTAATTAGAATTTGGGTATATTGAATTAAATGGGGAGCATCATTATTAAACAAGATTTTACTTGAAGGCTCAAATGAAGAAATTCATAATTAATTTTGAATTTGAATAATATGTTAATTAGGATTTGAATGTATTGAATTAAAAGGGGATTATTATAAATAAATAGTACTCCTCCGGTCCTTAATATAAGACCCATTTAACTAATTTGATTAGATTAAGGAAGTTAGGTAAGTTAGTTAATTATAAGAAAAGTGACACATTTTTCCTAAAACATCATAATCATCTTTCTTAATACCCCCTCTCCCTCTTCCACTTGATTATGGTTGAGAGAGCATCCATAAGGGTAATTTAGAGAAAACTGATAAATATGAGAAATGGGTCTTATATTTAGGACCAAAATCAACTCAACAATTGGGTCCTATATTAAGGACCGGAGGAGTATGTTACTTGGGGTTTAAATAGAGAAACAATTAATTAATTTTAAATTTTCATATGTTCTCCCAAATTTCACATCTCTAATTCAAATCCTATTTGAATGAATAAAAAAAAAAATCATACTCCTAGACCAACAAGGATTAGGTCTAATAGAAAAGGTCAGCCTCTCATAACATGATGAATCAATATTTAAATTCCCGTTAGAAGAGTTGCTCATATTTAGTGCCTAATAATGTTTCGAATAGAATTGCTTCTAATAGGAGAATACCTATATTTTAGCAAAAAAAAAAACATACTTCTATAAAAAGTGAATTTTGAACTAACTTAAATAACAAAATATATTAGAATTTAAAATTAATAAAATATTTTAAACCGTGCATCGCGTAGGAAATTTTTTTTTTTTTGTACTTTGACTCATAATTTATGAGGTCCTAATATCAAATCCCAGTTTTAATGTGAAAATCCTAGTAAAAATAATTCATTACTAATGTGAAAATTTTATTAGTAGAATATCGGTTAGTAATTTGGCAAGCGGTGATCTATAAATACCTTTGGCAATAGTTGTTTGAGGATTGAACGCACTAGCATTCCCTCACTCGAATGAAATACCTATCTTACTCACCTCAGTCTTGGAAATGAGTTGAGTTGATGAAGTCTAATGTATGCCAACTATAGAAAGCAGAGTGGGAAGTGCGTGTGAATAGGTGGGCATTCACTCGAGGCAACCATCAATTGATAAATGTAACACCTAGAGGTAGATTCGCACCCGCTTGAGGTATCCCACCTTGGTCGCTACGTTATTGCCAAGCCCAAAGCTCCGGCAGCCAGCCTTGGGCATTTCGCCTATGGCAACGTTAACTAGAAGCAGCCGCAATTTCAAGGCTACGTTGCTTCATTATTCATGAAGCACAATCAGCCGAGATCAGTACCATATACTTACCACTACTCTTTTCAGTCCTTTAAATGAGAAGGAGCGTGTATTTTTTTAATTATTTCTCTCTTATCATATTTTTTTTAAGTATATTTTTATTTTTTCTCTTATTTATTATAATAGCATATTTGAAAACAAAAGTATATTTATAACATATTTATTGTTTTTAATTAATGTTTACTAATTATTCGTTATCTATGAATTAATTATTTGAAGTTTATGATAATAACCGGGGGGAGTATAATACAATTTAGATCATTCAAAATTTGACCTGGGTGGTTTAGATTTAAAAATTTTAATATGTAAATTTTTCAATAATAATTTATTTTTGAAAGAAATGTTTATTTTTAGTTTAAATTCTGTATCTATTAAAACAAAAAATTAATTTAAAAATATAAAACAATTAAATTCAATCTAAATTATTTAAAATCGATTTGAATAGACTCATTGTTGTGATTGAGCATGAATATGCTCCCAAACTAACTATAAACTAGTATTCCGGTCCTAAATATAAAATCTATTTTATATTTATTATAAAAGAAGTTTTATATTTAAAATCAGAAGGAATATTTGAACAAATTATACTAGTATTTAACAAATGCTACTTCATTCACAGGTGCAACAGTATCTGAAGCTAAAAAGACTCCATTAGCGTCATCCATGACATCAACGACTACCAAAGAGCCCGACGAGAAGAAAACATTCTAATAATGAAAAGAATGTGGAATTGACACAGAAAAAGGCGGCTTTTAATAGAAATATTTTGTAGAAAACCAGAAAACGATCAATCAGACGACGGATTTAACCGAACAACATCACTCCAAGTTCTCTATGTACAGCTTCGTCATCTGTGTTTCCTCTGTGTTCTTCCTGTCCAATTCAATTCGACGACGCAGAAGTTGATACCCGAAACGCATTCTTCAGTCCCTTTATCAGCCTCTGCCGAAAAGTCTTGTTCACTTTCGGAGTTCCATTATTAAACTCGCTTGATTCTTCATACAAACACGTCGACCTCTCAACTTCAGGAATCCCCATTATTCTGCTATCAAACCGAAAACTCGACGATGAAACCGACCCTCTTTCTCCTCTTTCTATTTTATTTCCATTCTCAAACGGCACATAATGAAAACTCTTCGGACGTTCGGAGTTCAACACTTTGCTCCGTCTCTCCGGCTGATCGGCCTGAGTACTCTCCAGCAAGATTTGCTTCATTCCCCGAAGCTCCTTCTCCAGGCTCTGAATACGAGAGCTCGTGGACTCCATGGCTGCCCTGAGGTGAGCAGAATGGCGAATAACCGCTTCTCGGTGCAGATACTCGCCGAGTGTGGTGGAGTTTCGGGCCTCTGGTAATTCGGAACCATGATGTCGGTGCGCCGTGACATTGGTGGCGGCGGCGGCGGCAGCCGTGTGGAGGTGAGAAACTGCGGCGGCGGACACGATGGAACTGCGAGTGTTCAGCTGCTCAACTAACATAGCCCGGATGATGAACCTCAAAGGCATCCTAGGGTTTTGAACACATTCAACAAGCGTCCGAGGTGAGAGCTTTGTGCAGTCTATACAATTGCATATCTCAGCCTTCTGTTCTTCTGCTATTTTACCAAACTTGTTTTCCTTGACCAACACAACCGATAAACAGTAAATACAATAGTCAAAGGTCTAAATCATTAATTAATTATTAGGCGTCCGTAATTTTAAAAACCTTTGATATGATTATTGTACGCATACACACACTTTCTTAATATCAATTTGTGGATAAAAAAAAATTAACCTAATATGTCACAATACGAAGTGGGATCCACTTTAACATTTTTGTTGTTGTTATAACTATATATATATATATATATAATATACAGTATATTTGAATTGATGGCAACATTTTGTCGAAATCATCAACTAATTTATAATAACAAGTATCTAACAACAACCGAATTAATTTTGGGAAAAATTGTACATGCGTTCGAGTCAAGAAAATTAAATTTGGAAGGTCCCATGGAAATCATTGTTTCTTAGAAATTTGATTTATAAATATGTAAGTTTGACTTAAAAACATAAACTACGCTAAATTCAACTCGTGAATGACGCATTGGTTAAATATATAAGTTTGATTTCTAAGTTCTAAATATATAGATAATTTTTCCTTAATTTTTTAGCTATGAAAGTTTAATCATAAATTATAAACAATTATAGAGATTGAGTTAAAAATTATTTACACTCAGGCATTTGAAACCGAATAGATAATGAAATGACCTGAAATAAAAAAAACATTTAGGTATTTAATAAATGACGATTTACTCAAAATTTAAGCTTGTACTTATCATTTTTTTATTAAAAAAAATACTAACAAATTTTTTGATTATAACAATAGAGCACATTTTTTTCACCGGGGATGACGCTCCAACACGGGAGACGTGACGTACCTTGAGGTAAAGATCGACGATCTTGTAAAGGACGTCATGGTTTCTGAATCGTCTGCACATGGACTCGGCGACCACCAGAAAATCTTGAGGGTGCATCGCAACGACGTCGTTCAAACAAGTGTCGTCTTCGATATGCCCACCATCTGCTAAAATCAGTGCTTCAATACATCTGCTCACGAGAAACGCCGACGTTTCTGACTCCGGCAGCAGAGGCAAGCACGAACGAAGCACCATAGATGCGTACTCTTGGTTAATGGTAATCACTCCCCTGAAATACGCTTCCGTTACGTGACCCAGGTTCTCTCCGTCTATGCCCTTCGCTTCCGTCATGCCCAGCAACTCCGCCGCTGTCCTGAGGGCGGCGACATTGGAAGGCGTTACCTGAACGTCGGAGCTGTAACAGAACTCGGCGATCGACGTAAAGGTGTCCGCCGTTATGTTTAGCGGTGGAGAGAGAGTGAAGTCAGAGACCACTTCCGTTAAATGTCGTTTCAGATATGAGCTTCGTGATGTAAGACGCTCCTAAAAGACCCAGAAAGCGCAATTAGTGTTAGGGACATTAACAGCACAAAAGTGAAGCTCACATTTTTATGCATATTAAAGCAGTGCAGTGCCATATGCCCCTCCGTGTTGGTCTTTTACAAAAGCGAACAGCACTGAGATGAAACTGTTTGCCCAAAGGCCTTTTACTACTCTCTCAAAGTGATTAACTTTACAATCAGATGCCTAATCGCTGTAGGTTCCACTATAATTAAATATATGTGAAATTTCGCATGTGGGGTTCTGCATTGTCTTCTTTCAGGAGAGAATATATAAAAAGACAATTTTTGTTGTTGGCATTTGGCTATGAGAATGGAGACAATTGAGATCCCATATTGTGCCAATTGGGGAGAATTCTCAAGCTGCTCTTGCTTGAGATATACTCGTTAGGATCATACAAGGACAAGAATGAAGCCTAATCAGTTAGGCTCTGCCTCTGGCTTCAAAAAAATTAAACCACTAATCATGCCCGAATTTTCATAAAAGTTGAACTTTTTTCACTTGGGGTAGGTAGATTCAAGGACTTACTATTTTGTAGGCCACATCCCTAATAAAGAAGATTGATCCCACAGGAGGTAAATTGTTCATGTCAAATCCTAAATTGCCAAAAACCTGAAGCCAATTACAAACTCAGTGATCCAAGTTGCAATCTGGCCACTCATCATTCCATTCCAATAGGAGCTAATTATAGTTCAGCCAAACATGTTGAATGTTCGTATTTCCAGAACGCATCACACTGGGACTTCCTCTTTCAAAATTAAAATAACACTAAATGAACGTCAGATCATCTTACCAAAAAAAAGAATCGATAAAGCAATAGTTTTTTATTCAATTCAAATAGTAGCAGAAAGCCAAGCTAGATTATTGTTCAACTATCGTAGCAGGCTAAGACAGAGCAGAAACAGGGTATTCTCTGACTAACCCAACCTAATCAAACTCATTCAGTAAACGACAACAGTGGAGCCAATCAACAAACCTTGTGCAGACGAAAACATGATCCTTGTACTCGTATCAAGATGTCTGTTTCACGCCCAGTTGCCAAAGACCTATCATATGTTTGTAATAGAAAAGTATTATTAAAAAGAAAACAGAGGGTCCAACTGATCTTATGAGAACAATAGTTAAAGACAATTAAAAAATTCGGAGACCAAAACAGGGATAAGAAAGAAGAAGAAAAAAGAAATTACCAGGCCTCTACTCTGGAATGAAGGGGAGTGTGAGGAGAGAGAAGGGAAGGAGAAACAGAGGGTGAGGTTGAAGACGAGAACTCGCATTCTTCTTCGTAAATGGTCTCAACGACCCCTAAATTTCCCCAATTTCTCACCTGCATCTCTCTCTCTCTCTCACTGCAGAATCACACAGTTTTCAAAGATTTTTGAATGCTTCAAGGGATCGCCATTAGGGTTTTGGAGGTGGGGCGAGAAATGGTTTGCAGGAGTCATAAATTGGGTTTGGGAAGGGCATTAATGACATGCATGTGAAGGCTCATAAATGCCCGCCTCAATTGTTTCCCGTCACATATAATTTTTTTTTCAACGAAAATACTGTGTTTGGCAGGAGTGCTGTAACATTCGAGGGGCAAGAATATTAAGATTATCTGGGCCTGGGCGATCCCAGATCATCTATTCTCTGCAAATATTCTTCTTCATGAGCAGTAAAATTTCCTTGTGAAACCCAAATTAAAGAAATAAAATCTCCACGTCAAAGCATTGTAAGCGACTCATCGTGGACCTCCTGGCTTCCATTAGCCCTGGGTCACAATTTTCTTCCTCTCTTCTTCACTGCTGAAAATGAAAGCTGATTATGTACTTCGACCGTTTCTTAGGCTTATAATAACTGAAACAGACAGACGCATACGTCCATTAAGGAGGGTGTGGTTCCTCCATCAACATTAACTATTGTATTCAACTAGGTTAAATTCGGTAAGTTACATTTCTTTTGACTTTTATTGCAATTATCCTGATTTTATTTATTTTTACAATATGAATGGTCACCATCAATGAGCAAGGGGCTCGTAATTTGTAACTTTCATCCTAAATACTACCTTCAATCCGAATTATAAAAGCCAATTGACTAATTTGAGGAGATTAAAAAAGTAAGTTGAGGTAGTTATTTGTCTTAAATAAGTGTTATTTTTTCTAAAATATCCTCACTAATCAAGTGTACTGACTAGAATTATCATTATTAAAAGGGTTATTTTAAAAAAAATGTATAAATATGAGAGAAAAAGTGGATTAGGATTTTATATTTAGGACAAAAATAAAAGTCAAATATGACCTTATATTAAGGACTGGAGCTAGTATAAATTACTTGCAGGGAAAAATGTTTGCTATAAATATAAATTATTTATAAGATATTTAATGATATTTTTGTGATTTTATTCTTATTTGATTTTGATTTAGAAGTGAGAAAAAGAAGAGATTTGATAATGATTTGCAAATTTAGAAGGAAAAAAACTTTTAATAGAGGTAAATTTAAAATTTTTTTTTATCAATTTAATGCATTATTCAGAATAAGTTATGAGTGATTTAGAATAAGAATGAGAGTGGCACTTACTAAATCCAATTTAAATATTGTTGAATCTACATGATGTACATCTTTTATATTTACACAAAGTGGAACTTGATCAGTATTTAAACAGTTATGCTTCCTTCTTTGAGTTCGCTGAGCATTCCGACATCAGAAATTATGGGAAATTTCGCCTCAGCTCATCATTCCAACAGTGGCAAAGTGTCATTACTGCAGTTAAAATCGTGGAATCTTCACTTTTAAGCTATGGGAAATTTATCTGTTCTGTTTTGTAATGAAATAAACTCCAGAAATTGTTAAATGTGGAATTTTCACTTGAAGAGCAAATTGAAATTAGGCTTGACGAAGAAACAGAGGGCATACATGAAGGAAAAGCACTTCTTCTTGGTCATTATAAATGGAAGGGCTCAAAACCTTGTCTTCGTTCGTTGAATAACAGGCTTATAATAGTAGAGAATGAGAATTCGTATTTTGACACGAGGAGGGCTTCATCATCGTCCGTACTAAATAAAGATTCGTTATTTCTGTTAATTTGGGTTAGAAGACAAATGTTATTTTAGTACATGGGGCTTTTGCCGTCCAATTGTTGGAGGGCTCCTGAAACAAAATCCAGACAAATTGGATTCATGTGAATTGGCGCGGGACGCAGTTGAAGCTAATTGTGGAATTACCCGTGGGATAGAGAACTATGTGCATTGATTTAACTAAAGTATTCGTTCGGTCCCAAATATAAAATTTATTTTATATTATAAAAGTGGGTCCGGTCTTTAATATAGGACCCAATTGTTGAGTTGGTTTTGATCCTAAATATAAAACCTATTTCTCATATTTATCAATTTTTTCTAAATTACCTTTATAAATACTCCCTCAACTATAATCAAGTAGGAGAGGAAGAGGGGATATTAATAAAGATGATTATGATATTTTAGAAAAAACGTGTCACATTTCTTATAATTACTTACCTAACTTTCTTAATCTAATCAAATTAGTTAAATGGGTCTTACATTAAGGACCAGAAGAGTAGTACTGTTATTATTTTGGAGCAGTAAATCATCCTTACGTAGAAATTATTTTCGACATAAGGTAGCTTTTGACAACGAGATGGAATATCAAACTGAAGGCAAAGTGGATAAAGTAGCCATCCAATATTAATGTGTAGCTGGAAAAACTCACGGAGGCATCTGAAATGTTCACTCTAGGCCCCCCAGGGCCCCCCCGGCTGTTACTTCCTTTGATTTTGAATCTGAATCTAAAAATTAGATAAGTAAAATTTATAAATATTAAAAAAAAAGGGAAAAAGACAGAAAAATGCTACTTAAACTTCATAATCCCTAAATGGTATGTTAAATTTCAGAAATCCCAATTTGGTCTCAAGAGATCAAATTAGGATTATTATGTGAAAGAAAAAAACCAAATTGCCCTTGATTTTAAATATTGTTTTAAAAATATCACAGCCCCCACTGGCCGGCCGGTCACCGGAGCTCCGGCAGCAGCAGTCACCAGAGCTCTGGCGTCCGGTCGACAATTGGTCACCGGAGTTTCATTGGTCGGAAAAAATTTTTTTTGAAAATTTTTACAACTTCAGTATAACGGTTAACAACTTTTGTAATGATATTAACAACTTCAGTATAGCAATTAACAATAAGTTTTCTGGAAAATTCAACAAACTCCGGCGACCGGAAACAATTTTTTTGAAAATTTTTACAACTTCAATATAACCGTTAACAATTTTTGTAATTATATTTACAACTTCAGTATAGCGGTTAACAACAGGTTTTTGAGTTTGTTAACAGCATTACTGAAGTTATAAAAATGCCACTTTTTGAATTTTTCGAAAAATCTGTTGTTAACTGCTATATCGAAATTGTTAACCATTATACTGAAGTTGTAAAAAATTTTAAAAAAAAAAACGTAATTGTTAACATTATATTGAAATTGAAAATTTTTACAATTTCAGTATAACGGTTAACAACTTTTATAATGCTGTTAACAACTCTAATATAGCAATTAACAACAGGTTTTCTGAAAAATTCAACAAGCTCCGGTGATCGGAAACAATTTTTTTGAAAATTTTTACAATTTCAGTATAACGATTAACAACTTTTGTAATTATATTAACAACTTCAGTATAGCGGTTAACAACAGGTTTTTGAGTTTGTTAACAGCATTACTGAAGTTATAAAAATGCCACTTTTTGAATTTTTTAAAAAACTTGTTAACTGCTATATCGAAGTTGTTAACCGTTATATTGAAGTTGTAAAATTTTTTTAAAAAAACGTAATTGTTGACATTATACTGAAGTTGAAAATTTTTACAACTTCAGTATAACAGTTAACAACTTTTATAATGCTATTAACAACTTCAATATATCAATTAACAACAGATTTTTTGAAAAATTCAACAAGCTCCGGTGACCGGAAATAAATTTTTTTGAAAATTTTTACAACTTCAGTATAACGGTTAACAACTTTTAATTCTATTAACAATATCATTACAAAAGTTGTTAACCGTTATACTGAAGTTGTAAAAATTTTCAAAAAAATTTTTTCCAACCGACGGAACTCTAGTGACCAATTGTCGGCCGGTAGCCGGAGCTCCAGTGACCTGCTGGCTAGTGGGGGCTGTGATATTTTAAAAACAATATTTAAAATTAAGGGCAATTTGGTCTTTTCTTTTTATATAATAATCCTAATTTGGTCTCAAGACCACATTGGGATTTCTGAAATTTAACATATCATTTGGGGATTATGAAGTTTAAATAGCATTTTTCTGTCTTTTTTCCAAAAAAATAATTGAATTTGTTTTTTTAACACATGGATATTAATGTTCATAAAATACCTTTTTAACGTGGCGAGTAGCTTCCTCTCCTTATCTGGCTAAGAAATTTTTTAAATATCGAATTCAATACTATCCCCATTCTTTAATATAACAACTTATTTGATTAATTTGAGTAAATTAAAAAAGTTTGTTAAGTTATTTATTTGTAATAAATACATTGTTTTTTCTAGAATAACCTTACTAATCATGTGTATAAGCTAATACTACTATAAAATTTTTAACATGTGTAAATACTACAATAACTACTTTAGAAAAAAAAAAAGATAAATATAAGAGATAAAATATGTTGATATCTTATATTTATGACCAAATTAAAAATTAAATTAACTCTTATACTACCTCCTATCTTAATTATAAAATTTTATTTATAGTTTATAAATAAGATCTTATAATTAAAAGGAGAGGAAATGTCATCAGATTTCGAAATTGTCACATCAAATATCTTCCTCAGATATCCCGGCTCAGCGCTTTTCTCAAACTAGTTTTCTCAAACGTTTGATTGGGCGAAGAATCAGACAAAAAAAAAAAATGATTGGGCCGAAGAAAGCAAATGGGATGGAAAAATATCCTATTATTTGATACATTTTTTTAAAAAAAATACTATCTTCAGTCTTTAATATAAAAGTTTATTTGAATTTTATTTTGATCTTAAATATAAAATCTTAATATATTTTATCTACCATATTTATTTCTTTTTTTTAAAATAGTTCTTATAATAATAATAGTTTTAGCCAATACACTTAATTTAAAGATAATACCTATTTATTAAAAAAAACTAAATTAACTAATTTTTTAAATTTATTCAAATTAGTTAACTAGCTCTTATATTAAAGACAAAAGATAGTGATTTTTTTAATCAATTTTTGGGAAAATATTTGGAATTTGAACGTTTCTCTATAAATTTCACACTTCTCTCTTCCAAATTTGTTTCTATTTTCAAATGTCCTGCGATGAATTTTTGTGCAAAATTTTTCTGAACAAATAATTAAAAAAATTTTACACGGATCTGCTAAAGTTGGTAAATTGCATCATATATTTATTTAGTGAAAAAATAAAAAAAATGAAAAACCTATCTAAATTGCACAATGACAAAATAGTCCATTTCT